CAATTCCAAGGGAAGCATAACAAGAGACACTGTTGAAATACTTATAAAATCATAAAGACATGCTTTAAATCACGTAATCTACAAAATTGGGGGGGGGGAATGAAAGAAATAGACCATCTTTTTCAGTAGGTACCATTTACAAAATTTAGATCAATATCAGGTGAACAATTTAAACAGACATATAACCCCTTGCAAAATAGAAATGGTCACTAAAAGTCTACAAAAAGAAAAAAAAAGCCTAGGGTCAAACTATTTTATCACAAAATTCTGTCAGAATTTCAAAGCAGAGTTAATGCCAATGCCCCTCAAATTAATCCAATAGAAACAGGAAGGACATCACCTAATTTAGTTTATGAGACTGCAGTTACCCAGATAGAGAAGCCACAGAAAGATCCAAAAATGAAAGAGGATTACAGACCTTTTACTTTTATGAACATAGATGCAAAAATATTCAATAAAATAGTTGAAAAGCCAAGGTCTCCCCTGGGGAGTCAGCCCAGCTTGGTAGATTCAGCCTAGGCAGGGCCCCTCCTCCCTACACCAAGGCTGAGCAAAGTGTCCTAGCATAGGCCCCAGGCTCCAAAAAGCCAGTCCATGTACCAAGGATAGCTCAGGCTCCACTGCCTGTGAGCCTCCCAAACAGTTCTAGCTAATCAACTGTCTCACTTATCCAGAGGGCCTGGTCCAGTTCCATGGGGTCTCCTCAGCCATTGGTTCACAGTTCATGCCTTGGAGGAAGTGGGAATGGGGAGTGAATTGGGGGGAGGGATGGGGGATGGGAGGAGGGAGGATGGGGGAATCCATGGCTGATATGTAAAATTAAATTTTTTATAAAATAAAAATATTAGAAAAAAACAAACAAACAAAAATAATACAGTTCAAAGGGAAAAAAATAAAAATAAAAAATAAATAATTGAAAAGCCAAATACAAGAGCACATCAAAAAATCAGCCACTATGATCAAGTAGATTTTGTCCCTGAAATGCAGGGATTGTTCAATATATGAAAATTAAAAGAACACAACCCACCATATAAACAAATTGAAAGAAAAACAAGAACCTTGACAAAAGCCAACACCTCTTCATGATGAATGTTTTGGAAACATTAGGGATACAAAGGAACTACATGAAGACAAAAAAGGCAATTTATAGGGAGCCTTTTGCCAATGTCAAATTAAATGAACAGGAAATCAAAGCATTTCCCTGAAAGTCAGGAACAGGTCAGGGTTGCCCACTCTTTCCATTTCTATTTAAAATAGTAATTCAAGTCTTAGAGTAAGAAGACAAGTGAAGGAGATAGAGGGGATACAAAAGGGAAGGGAGAAGTAAAAATATTGTTATTTGCAGTTTATATGTTATTGTACATAAGTGACCATAAAGTCCCACCATGGGACGACAACAACAGCTGATAAACACTTTCAGCAAAGTAGCTGGGTAAAAAATTAACTCACAAAAATCAATAGCCCTCCTATATACAAATGAAAAATGGACTAAGAAACAATTCAGAGAAACAATGCCTTCCCTGATAGCTCCAAATAATACAAAATACCCTGCGGTAACTAACCATGTAGGTTAATGACTTGTATGTAAAAAACTTAGTCTTGAAAGAAATAAATTGAAGAAGATATCAGAAGATAGAAAGATCTCCCATGCTTGTGGATCAGCAGAATTAACATAGTACAAATGGCCATCCTACTTAAAGCAATCTACAGATTCAGTGTAATCCCCATCAAAATTCCAACACAATTTTTCACTGACCTTGAATGGACAATTCTCAACTTCATATGGAAAAGCAAAAAAGCAAAACAAAAACATTATAGTTAAAGTAATCCAGAACACTAAAAGACTGCCAGAGGTATTACCATTCCTGATTTGAATTTGTACTATAGAATGATAGCAATTAAAACCACATGGTTATTGGCATGAAACCAGACACAGTGATCCATGGAATTTTCTTCCTGGACTACTTGACAGTATACTCTATAAACTGAATATATACAGGACCCATGGGAAAGTGACCATTGAACTTAGCCAAAACAAGGTGAGATGGTTCTTTAGCTCCTGCTTCACAGAAGATACTACCAGATGTTCTGTAGGACACAGAGGAAAGTGACTGATGAACTTTGCCAATAGGCAAGACAATCCTTCAATTTTCCTGCTTCTCTAAAACGTCTGCCAGAGACTCTAGGCCTGTAAGCTGAAGATGGGATGTTCCAATGTTGAAGAGGAACTCTGTCCAGGCAGCCAGATGTCTCTTCAATTCTAGAGATTTTGAAGTTGCTTATCATGCACTTTCTGTTTACTTAGGTAATATATTCTTCTGGGGTCTTTGATGGAGTTGAAGACTAGATACTTATAATTATAGTTTTCCTTAGTTATGACCAAATGCAAGTTAGATATAAAACTTTAGACTCCCCAAGATAAGATAGATAACTGAATATTTTCTGTAATTTTGTCAAATACAAATAGACTAAATATTGTAACTGTTGTTCTTGCTTGATAACTGTTTTGTTATGTATGTTTACTATGTTAAAGTTAAAACCTTCTGTTTTGATTACACAGAAAAGGGGAAGTACTGTGGGATGTCTTTCTGTATGCTGTGGATATGTATTGCTCTCATTGTTTGATAATAAAGCTTTGGCCTATGATGAGGCAGAATAAGGTTAGGCAGTACATTCAAACTCAAGATGGAGATGAAAAAGGGTGGAGTCAGAGAAGAAGGTGTGAGCCACCTCCAGGAGAAACAAGATGTGAGAGAACAGGTAATGCCATCAAGCCACATGGCATAACATAGATTAGTAGAAATGGGCTGAATTAAGTTATAAGAGCTAGTTAATAATGAGCCTGAGCCATAGACCATACAGGTTGTGATTAAAATAAGCCTCTGTATGTTAACTTGGGACTGAATGGCTATGGGACCAGGCAGGAAACAGGAAAACTTCTAGCTACATTTTTGAAGACCCAGACATAAATCCACACACCTATGGGCACCTGTTTTATATACATATAAAATATGTATATAAAATATATGTATACACACACACTCTCTCTCTCTCTCTCTCTCTCTCTCTCACACACACACACACATGCCAAAAATACCCACTGGAAATAAAACAGCATCTTCAAGAATTGGTGCTGTGAAACTGGATGTCTTCATGTACACAAATACAAAAAGAATTATAACTATCATCCAGCACAAAACTCAAGTTAAGTGGATCTAAGACCTAAAGCCAAGCACACTAAACCTGATAGAAGAGAAGGTAGTAAAAGTCTTGAATAAAGTGGTACAGGAGACAACTTTCTGAGCAGAACACTGAGAGCCCAGGCACTAAGATCAACAACTGGGACCATATGAAACTGAAAAGCATCTGTAAGGCAAAGGATGCTGTCAATTGGACAAAGTGTCACCTTAAAAAATGGGAAAACATTCTTACCAAGGCTACATCTGAGAGAGATCTAGTATCCAAAATATATAAAGAATTCAAGAAACTAGATATCAAAAACAAGTAATCCAACTAAAAAATGGGCTACAGACCTAAGGAAAGGATTCTCAACACAGAAATCTCAAATGTCTGAAAAAATGTAAGGAAATGTTCAACACCGTTAGCCACCAGGGAAATGTAGTTCAAAACTGTTTGCCATTCCATCTTATACATGTCAGAATAGCTGAGATCAGAAACACAAGTGACAGCTCAGATATGGAGCAGAGGAAAAACTCCTCCGTTGCTAGTGGAAATGCTAATTTGTAAAACCACTATGAAAATCAATATGGCACTCCCTCAGAAAATTGGGAAATGATCTACCCAAGACATGGCTGTATAACTCTGGTGTGTATATCTAAAGCTCACTCCATCCTACCATAAAGACATTTGCTCCACTATTTTCATTGTGGCTTTGTTCATAATAGCTAGAAAGTGGAAACAACTTAGATGTCTTTCAATAGAATAATGGATGAACAAAATGTGGTACATTTATACGATGGAATATTATTCAGCTGTTAAAAATGACATCATGAAATTTGCAAGCATATATATGTAATGAGAAAACATCATCCTGAGTGACGCAACTCAGGCCAAGGAAGATAAATATCGTATATGTTCACTTATACATGCATATTAACAATTAAGTAAATTATAAACAAGCTACAGTCTGTAGACAGAGGTTAGGTAAAGAGGAAGGCTCTAGAGGGAATGCACGGATCTCCTTGGGGAGGGGAAATGGAAAAGATTTTGTAGGTGGACTGGAGGTTTCAAGAAATGGGAGGAGGTGGGATCAGGTGGTGAGGAAGATAGGATAGGAGAATGTATGAGCAAAGAAGATGGGAATTTGGGGGAGTTGGGGCCAGTATAGAAGTATAGTACAGTGGAAGCTTTCTGGGATCTAGGAGGGTGACTCGAGTGAGGAGTCCTACCAGTGGGGTGATGGAGTAGCAACTGGCCATCTCTTGTAGCCAGGTAAGACTTCCAGTGGCAGAACTGGGTTGCATTCAGCTGAATTATTGCCCAAGGGTGTCCTGTGGAAATCCCCAAACAATGCAGATTCATGATAGGACTGTATCGTGAATTCTAAGTGGTCTTAATAATAAAAATCTGGAGTCAGGTATTGGGATAAATGCTTAAAGATCACAGAAGTAAAGGAGCAGCCAACGTTACCTCTTACCTTCATGAGTCCTCCTCAGACAGAAAAGGGGCCAAGAACCTGTCTCTGCCTGCCTTATATTCCTTTCTCTGTCCAACCATATCACTTCCTGTCTCCTTTCTATACAAACCTCCAGACATCTATGATTAACAAAATGGCTAGCTCCACCCTCTGATATTCAGGCAAGCTTTATTTGTTAGAGCACACACAAAATATCACCACATAGGACAGAAGGTTGCTAGCTGAAAACTGATAGCAGGTCCCCATTGCAAGGACAAGAACTTTTCAGCTCATTTCATATAGAGAGGACATAGTGGTGTCTGCATGGATACTTCACCTCTACATTCTAATTTCTTTGCTATAGGAAAGAGAAGTCTGGACCCCAGCCCAAGAATAAAACTTTTGATTAACAATCTGTCCATCCTGCAAGGTATGTTAGGGCAATAGTGGTACAGAATTTGTGGAAGTTGTCAACCATTATCTGATTTAACTTGAGGCCTATTCTGGGAATGGGAGCCTGTGCCTGACACTGGTTGGATAGCCAAGAACCAGAGACAGGATAGCCCAGATGCCTAGGGTAGAACCAAGCATGACTGGTCAAAAAAATTAATAAATGAGAATCAATGAAATGATTCCTAATGGTATTCTTTTATACTCATAGATTGATACCTTTTCCAGTCTCATCATAGAGGCTTCCTCTGGCAGCAGATGGGAGCAGGAGCAGAGATCCCCAGCAAGACATTACGTGTGCAGTCTAATTGGAAGGTCTTTCTCAGGTGCCTCTTACTGGAGCTGGAGGAATCCTGCAGAAGAGGGGGCACAGAAGGTTTCTAGAAGTCAGATGGGATGGAGGACACCAGAACATGGCCCATTGAATCAACTAATCAGGGCACATATGTGCTCATGGAGATTGAGGTGGCAATTAAGGTATCTGAATGGGTCTGTACTAAGTTCTCTGCCTATATGTTGTGGCTATTAGCTGGTTTTCTTGTGTGACTCCTAACTCTTGAGTCTTTTACCTGCTCTTATAGCTCATTCCCTCCTGTTGGGTTGCCTTATCCAGCTTCAGTGTGAGGGCTCTTGCCTTTCCTTATTATACTTTGTTTTGTCGTCTTTGGTTTCTGTCTGTTGTAGGCCTGTCCATTTCTGATGGGAGACAGAGGGGAAGTGGATCTGAGGAAGAGGGAAAGTGTGTGGGGGGAGTGGGAGGAGGAGAAGCTATATTTGGGATGTATTGTATGAGAAAATAATCTGCTTTCAATAAAAAAAATAAAATTGAAAACAAAGATATGGTGTATACTTCTTTTACTAATTTTTCCCTGAATATTTATCAAATTTTCACAATTTTCAGTCAGACTATTAGTGACATATACTAAATTTCCTTTGCTTCAAACAAATATTTTGATTTATTTCATTTTATTGATGTCTTCTATTATAAGTAGTTTTTCTTCTATTATAAGTAGCATTATTATTATAGAAGAAAATTAAAGTGCATCAGGTATTTATTGTATTTGCTGCATGTCTATACCAGTACAGTATACATCCAGAATCACATGCTAAGCTTCATAATATTATATACAATAAATATAACTTTAATATAATGTTAACTATATATAACTATGGAATGGCTTATGCATTATAATAGAACCTTCATAAAGGTAGGAATATAGGACAGCTTTTGAACATCTCCATTGTCAGAATGACCTCCCTCTGTAAAAATTGGCCATCAAGAACTGTCAGTCATTAATTCTAATGCCATAGCAGCAATTCTGCTGCTACCCATTGAAGAACATTGGAATTGTTTATAATTTTATGTGACGATGAAGTGGGTATACACATGGGTTTACAACTTTTAGGATGATAATGTATTTACTTCATAGGTTTGTCTTCAAATTTTCTGACCTTTTCTTATTTATGTATAATACATACTGTTATCATATCCCTGTCTGTCCACTGTCTTATCTTATTGACTTTCCATTTCTGTGCACATCCCCTTCTTGCCAATAGTCCATGTCATCTTCATGTCTTTTGTTTGTGCCTATGTTGTATAGGTTCTTGCAGCTACTCAGTGCCCCTGATTGCCATAGCTATGTCCTACCCAGAGACAGTGTTTTAAAATATTCTTGAGCATCCAATGGCCCTGAAATTTCTGTCACCAGCCCTTCTACAATGTCTCCGGGACCTCAGAGTAGTGGACACAGATGTTCCATTTAGGGCTGGATAATCACCAGTCTTCTAGTCTCTGCATTTAAAAAATTGATAGGGTTTTTATTTGGCCATAAAATTTGTACTTCTGTGGGTATCAACAGAAAGTGGAGTTGTTAGCCCTTATTATTACTCTATAATTATCTTTGAAAGAGTATAATAAAGAACAAATTGCACCATCTTTACTCCAGCACATCTTGTAGGCAGGGAAAATTGCAGATCAAAGTGTTTGTGACTGGGTTGATGTCCCTGTTCTCGTGCTAGAAGTCTTGTCTGGTTACAGGAGATGGCCAGTTTAGGCTCCACATCCCCTGTTTCTAGGCATCTTAGCTAGAAAACCCCTGATAAATTCCTGGGGGTTTCCATTAATCTAGGTTTCTAACTCATCCCATAGATTCCCCCAGATTCCAATTATCTTTCCCAGTACTCTCTCCATCCTTTCCCCACCTGATTCCTCCAGTTTGCATCCACATCCACCCTTGCAGGTCCTTTCTTCAATCCACTGACAATGTCTATTCTATTTCCCCTTTCACAGTGAGATCCATGCATTCTCCCCTCTCTTTGAAATCTCCTTTTTACTTAGCCTCTCCGGATCTGTGGGTTGTAGCACGGTTCTCCTTTACATTACAGCTAATGTTCATTTATGAGTGAGTATGTATCGAGTTTGTCTTCCTGGGTTTAGGTTACCTCACTTACGATGATCTTTTCTAGCCCCATCCGCTTACCTGCAAATATCCTGATGTCATTGTTTTTACAGCTGAGTAATATTACATTGTGTAAATGTACCACATTTTCTGTATCCATTCTTTTCTAGAGGGACCTCCAGGTTGTTTCCAGTTTCTGGCTATTACAAATAAAGCTGCTATGAGTAGAGTTGTGCAAGTGCCCTTGTATTATGATGGAGAGTCCTTTAAGTGTATGCTCAGGAGTGGTATAGCTGGATCTTGAGGTAGATTGATTCCCAATTGTCTGAGATACTGTCATATTGATTTGCAAAGTGCCTGTACAAGTTTACACTCCCACCAGCAGTGGAAGAGTGCTCCTCTTGTTCTACATCCTCTCCAGCACAAACTGTCACTTGTGTTTTTGATGGAATCTCAATCTAGTTTTGATTTATATTTCCCTCCCTGCTGGCTAAGGATGGTTTATAAACTATGGGAGTGGCCAACTAATGACTGACACAGCTGAAGACCCATACTATGAGAGGGAGCTCCCTCACTGAGGGTCAGCCCCAGAAGTCTTATATCTCAGTATCTAGGGTAGAACCAAACTTGAATAGGAAAAATAGTCAATGAATGATTTATAATATTCTATTCTCAGTTGGTGCCTGGCTCAAATATCATCAGAGAGACTTCACCCAGTAATGTTGCTGGATCCTAAGGGCTCCCTCGGGGAGGGGGTGAGAAGGCACAGCATCAACAGCACAAACACTGGGAGTCAGTTGAAAGGCAAATGACAAACTTATTTATTCAATAACTGGGAAGGCATTATATACGCTCCTCTCAGCACCCAGTCTGTGTCTCAATCTGGTGGTATTATGTGGTCATTCCTCATTGGATGGGCATGATCAAGAACTCCGAAAGCACCTGTCACTAGGACCTCAGGCAGACTTCAGGTTGGCTCATAAGGAAGTTATGTGCATGCTTTGGTAACTGATGTGAGTCAATTTCCTTGACTCTGTGGGCCTGTCATACTACGCAGCAGCTGATAAGAACAGGTGCAGATACCCACAGCCAAACATTAGGTAGAACTCAGGGAATCTTGTGGAAGGGTGAGGAAGAATCGTAAGTCCTAGTAATGTCAAGGGCACCATAATAAGATCCACAAAACCAACTAACCTGAGCTCATAAGGGCTCAGAGAGACTAAATGACAACCAGTGAGTCTTCATGGAACTGATATAGGTCCTCTGCACATATGTTATAGTTGTGTAACTTGATTTTCTGTTTGAGACTCCTAACAGTGAGAGCAGGGCCATCTCTGACTATGTTGCCCACATTGGAGACCCATTCCTTCTACTTGATTGCCTCCTCCAGCTTTAATAGAAGAGGAGCTGCCTAGTCTCACTGCAAATATCCATTGGATATCAGCCTATATCTGAAAAGAAACAGTGGAGGAGGACTTGTTCGGGAAGTGCAGGGGAGATGGGAAGTGGGGGTGGGGGTGGAGGTAGGGGGTGCCTGGATGGGGTTGGTGGGAGGAACTGAAAGAGGAGAGGAGGGGAATCTTTGGTTGGGATGTAAAAACAAAAACTTAAATAAATAACAACAGCAAAAAGAAGGTATTATGTAATTACTCAAAAAAATTGCACAACCTCTTTGATCTTTTGAATTTCAGTTTTTTTCTCATCTTGCTTCTACATGTCATTATCACTTTAAATAGCATTATCATTTGTATACATATACCTTGCTGTGATTTTAACGTTCAATTCCTTGATGGTTAGTCATTATGTTGCCTAGTTTTTTGTCAACATGACACAATTGGAATCTTTTGGGAAGTAGGAACCTCAGTTGAGAAAATGCACCTACCATCCAGATTGGCCTGTAAACAATCCTGTTAGGCATTTTCTTAACTGATGATTGCTGGGGAAAGCCCAGTACACTGGGTATGGTACCACCACAGGTGTGGTGGTCTTATTTCCCTCACTGATGGACTATACTGTAGACTGAAATAATCCTTTTCCTCCCCAACTTGTTTACATTCATGGTGCTTATCACAGCAATTGAAAATAAACTAAAACACCAATCTTAATATTTTGTCACCTTTATTTGCCATGAATGCATTTACTTCAATTACTTTTCAATATCTATCATCTATCTATCTATCTATCTATCTATCTATCTATCTATCTATCTATCATCTATCTATCTATCTATCTATCTATCTATCTATCCATCTATCTATTCATTTATTTGTGTGCTTGCATACACACATTTGTCACACTGTTCTTGTGGAGGTAAGAGGACATTTGGAGAAGCTGGCTCCTTGTGTCCACTGTTTTGTAAATTTCATGTATCAAACTCAGGTTGGCAGGCTTGGTGGCATGTCTTTACCCACAAGATAATCTCTGAGGCACCTTTTTGCAACACTTCTCAAGTGTCTCACAAAACTTTTCCTATGTATATATTTTTCTTCTTACATTGTGTTTTGACACGTACACATTATAGATCCTACTAGTTTGTCCACTGTGTGACTTAGAGTAGTTTTGTCTCAGATTGCAGCTTGGGTGTTTTTAGTTACATTTTTTTGTCTGTATCTCCATACTCATGCTCACAGGCCCCAGAGAGGTGAATTGTATCTGTTTTTTGGGTTGTGTCCTCAGTCTAGCTTTATAATAGCATGGGAACATATTTGCTTCAAATGAAAACTGCCACTTTATTTTTGAATCTTGTACATTCTTAAATTCTTAATAGATTTGTTTTCTTTAATGGTAATTTTGGGGTTGTCATATATAAAAATATGTATAAACATATTTATAATATATATATTATTTATATATAAACTATATATGTATATATTTTAAGTGTACTGTCAATCTTATGTTTACTACTTCATGAGGGATATGCTGTGAGGAATTAGTCACTTCCAGGAGGAATGTTACAACTTATTATTGCAGAGGACACATAATTATTTAGATCATCAAGGTCAGAAGGTAAAATCACTAAACTTGAATTCTGATCAAATAAAGAAATTATTGAAAGCCTGTTATCCTATACTTTAACAATTAAAATAGAACTTTAAACATTTAATTGTTATAATAGTTATTCTAGAAAATGTTTTACAGCTAGAAATAATAGAATATATCATGTCCTTATAATTAATATAATGTGTGACCAATAAATACACCACTAGTGTATTTCATCCTATATAATATATTTTTGTCAATAAATCTACTATCTGTGGTGATATTTTGTTTGTGCTCTGACATATAAAGCTTGCCTGAAGATCAGACTGGGGAGCTAGCCACTAGAGGCCAGG